CCCGCTGGGTGCCCCCCAGATGGGACCCCCCGCATCGTCTCCTCCTTCAGCGAGAAGGTGGTCAACCCCGGGGAGCAGTTCTCCCTGATGTGCGCGGCCAAGGGGGCTCCCCCGCCGACCGTCACCTGGGCGCTGGACGACGAGCCCATCCCGCGGGACAGCGGGCACCGCACCAACCAGTACACCATGTCCGATGGCACCACCGTCAGCCACATGAACGTGACCAGCCCGCAGATCAAGGACGGCGGCGTGTACCGGTGCACCGCGCGGAACTCGGTGGGCAGCGCCGAATACCAAGCGCGAATAAACGTAAGAGGTGCCTGTCTACTTTTAAATATCAGAATAGGACTTTTAACTGGGCTTTTGGTTTCGTTCTGTTCCCCGGCTGATCGTTCCTCCTCGCCTCTCCCCTCCTCTTCCCAGCCGTGTGGGTCTCCCTGGCTATCCCAACCTCACCCCCTGAGCTCCCTGCTCCTGTCCCGCTCACACGCCTGCCCGTGGGGTTGAGCCTAACCAGTGCTTAAAGCAGGGAGTTTAACACAGTGGAAAGCAATTCCAGAGCCTTGGAGAGCTGGAGCCGAAGGGCAGCACTCTCCTCATTGGGGTCCACCCTCACCCCACCAAGCCTCTGCCTTAGAGTCTGTGCAGACCTGAGGGACCCCATCCATGCCTGGGGAAGGTGTGATGGGCACAGAAGCGTCCCAGGCCCCCCGTGCTCTCCCAGCCGCCCTTCATTCCCAACGGGAGCTTGGCTTCCTGGCAGCCACCCACCAGCACAGGGATCTCCGTGACAAACGATGATGAGGCAGCACGTGAAATCGTGGAAAATGAGCTTTGATTTGTCATGTCTGTATTTTCTTTGTCTGCTAAAAGCCATGGCCGCGTTAATCACCGTGTTATTACGGCTGGAGCGTGTTGCTCGGCGCGTTTCGGGAGCGCTCTCAGGCACGGGGTATGCTGTAAGCCCCTGCCCATTAATAATCCCCAATTAAAGCTCCCAGGCTTACAGGTGGGAGCGAGACAAGATAAGGGAGCATTTATTTGTCTGCTGAGAACGAGGGTTGAAGGGCTGTGTTTGTCTGTGTCTCAGGTTTGAAATGGATCTAGTGGCTTTTTGGCTGGGATCCCAGGAGAGTCGGAATTTTGCTGCCGTTTACTGCTGAATTTGGAGCAAGTTCATCCCTCAGCCGTGAGAAGCCAGAGCAGCGTTTTCAATGAGGATGTTCCCTTGCCTCCCTTTTCCCCCTCTCCCAGCTCTTGACGGGCTGTCACTAGATAAGATTCGGGTGTCTTTTTCCCTGGCACAGAGCATGTCCCTCAGACAGGCCTGAGAGATGGTTACAGGGCGAGATGCTAATTCCTTTCTCCTGCTCCTTCTCTAAACGTGTCCCAGACTGAGAAACACTGTCCATCAGCCGATCCTGAGTGTCTGTTAAGCTGTTATCCTGCTACGCCCTCAGGATGAGGAGTCAAGACAGGGTTAATCTTTAGATTACTTTGCTATTTTATGCAGCGGCTGAGAGAACAATGTAATTATCGATGCATGAAACCTCTCGTTTAAAGGTTCACCTGCAGCATTCTCCCAGTCCTTAGGCAGCACCAGAGCCAGTCAGAAACTGGTGTCCTTCTGGCATTACAGTGATACCCAGCCTGGCAGTGGGGGGCTCAGAAGTGTGGGGGTTAGGGCAGGTGAAGTATGTTTGCTGGTGAAAGTCACGTTCCTGTAGCAGCATTTGCCAAGGATGTTTGGCACAACACAGGCAGCTTCCTTCTGGGAGAGGCAGAGAGGGGCTGTGATGGTGGGGAGCTGTCCCACAGCTCCCGTGGCTGCAGGTGCTGCTGGAGGAGACAGGTGGAGGTGTGCTGGGTGGCCACGGTGCAGAAACACGCTGTGCTCCCAGACACTGTCTGACCTCCTGCAGTGGGTAGCAGTGGTGTGCCTGGGCTCAGCTTCCCCAGCACTGAGGCATCTGCAAAACTGGGGTGGAATTTGCTATTTGAAGTGTGACCCAGGACCACGTCCCTGTTTGTAGGCATGTGTGAGTAGGTGTAGCTGGAGGTTGCAGCCCAGGAGTGGCTTTCCCCACACGTGCTCAGAGGAGCCTGTGCCAGCTCCTTACCCAAACCAGGCTGGCTCCCACCTGTTCTGGTTACCTCCTTTGCCTGTGAAGCTCACTCCAAAATAGCAGCAGATCTGCATGCAAGCAAACTGCCCTTCGGAATTAACCTAGCCTGCCTCTTCCTTCCTCCCAAATATGTAGGTCCCCCGAGCATCCGAGCCATGAAGAACATAACAGCGGTCGCGGGTAGGGACACTTTCATCAACTGCAGGGTGATTGGGTACCCATATTACTCCATCAAGTGGTACAAGGACTCTTTGCTGCTGCCTGATAACCACCGCCAAGTGGTCTTTGAGAACGGGACTCTAAAGCTGATGGATGTGCAGAAAGGCATGGATGAAGGAGAGTATCTGTGCAGCGTGTTGATCCAGCCCCAGCTCTCCATCAGCCAGAGCGTCCACGTCACGGTCAAAGGTAAGAGAGTGGGGAGGTTTCCATGGATGGATGGATGGATGGATGGATGGAGAGGTCATGTTGGGGATGTCCCCGCTGTGGGATGGAGGCTGAGGAGCACTACATAGGGGATCCCGTGGCCAAGTGGTGGCTGTGCTCCGCAGTCACTGTGGATGAGATCCCAACTCCCACCACCACAGCCCTCAGGAACCGGCTCAGCTCCTGCTGGAGCGGCTACCTGGTCCTGTGTGTGTCCCAGCAGCTGCCCCGAGCCACGCTGTATCCATTTCCCCTTACAAGTGGTGGAGCAAGGATTTATGGTGTAAACATAACGTATTAAAACATCTAACCTTTGCTTGGATCACCTTCACCGATGTTTTTCTGTGTGTGCTAGCTTTTAAAAAAATAATATTCTCGGTCTTCCGAGCGCACAGAACATCTTAAAAGCTTCTCCAGGCCATCAATTATTCAGCCCCATTGAGGGAGCTATCAGTCCTAATGAATTGAGCCGGATGCATTCCCTCCCAGTGACTCGCCGAGATTGCGCTGGGAGCGCGCGGTGCTCCCGTATCTCCATCCTCAGAGTTGTCGGGTCGTCTCTGCCCGCTGCCAGCTCGGTGTTTGCAGTAAATCATTCAGACAAACACGGCGGCGCTGGGGACGGGGACGGCCAATTGTCGTCCTCCTGCTCACCCAGCGGGGTAACCATGGACTGGATTTACTCTGATCCCCCTCCCTCCCCTCCCAGACACCATTTTCTTATTAGGAATCAGGTTGGCGAGAGAGTGCATCAAGCTGATTAGAGATGCTGCCACTTGATTAGCTAATGCTCTTCTACAAGGCTTTCCAAAGGGAAGAGGAGGCTGTGGATAACCTATCTAAGGGTGATGCAGGGAGGACTTCTTGCCCCGTGGGTCTGCAGGGCACGGCCACCCCTGTTTTCCTCACCTTACATAAATCTCTGTCTATGTGTAGCCCCAGGGCTTGAAAAGAGGCCAGAGATGCTGGACTTGTCTTGGGACAACTGGGACAGGCAGGGCTAGTGTGGAGAGAGCACCTCAGGATGTGTGTGTGCTGTTAAATAACAGGATTTGCTGGGAGGTGCCATTGGAGGGTGCAGGATGCTGAAGTTCAGCTGAGGATCTGTGTTTTCTGGGAAGCAGCCACTAGTGAACCCTTCCCCAAGTGGATTTACTGCCTCGATTAGTGGCCGGTGACAGGCTGAGGACGGCGAGCGGGTGGGAGAGCCGTGCAGGCCACACATCTTCATTCCAGCTGCTGCAGATTTACACCCAGCCCACTGGCTGGATCCCTTATTTCCTCTGGCCATCGGATAAAAGGCCTCTGGGAAAGAATGGCAAAGCCCTACAAGAGAGTCAGGGAGTGAATAAACACAGCTGCGTAGAGCGAGGAGCACGGGATGGCACGGAGCGCCGTAAAGGTTTTACGGCCACATGAAGTGCCACCAGTGAGTTATGCAGGTCCTTCCAAGCATGTGGCAGTAAAAGCTTTACAGCTCCCTCCAGCACTGCTCCCCCAGGAAAGGGGGCAGGCAGGCAGCCCTAGCCCTGCTCGTGAGGCATCTCCCCTGTCTTGCGCCGAGGGAAGATCCTGTCCAGACGTAGCTGCTGCTGCTTAGCTGGGGGAGCTCAGCTTCAAACCTCCCCACTCCATAGGGCTTTGCAGCCACTCGGGTTTGCTTGCTGGAGCCTCTTCCCCAGCAGCACAATCCAGCATCCAGCTGGCTCCAAGGTGCCCTGACAGCTCCTTATTCCTGCAGACATCTTTGAAGGTTTTAATTAATCCCATGTGGGTTTGGTGCTGCTTGGGGCAGCTCTGCTCAGGTGGCTGAGGTGTCCTGGGGAGCACGGTACTGACACCAGCCCCACAGCTGGCACCACCAGGGCACTGTGTGGTGATGCTTCACCCCATGGGAGGGCAGAGGATGTTCTCTGGGGTCCCCTCTGGACCTGAGCTGCTGGGCCAGGCACTGTGGGCAGGGAGACCCTCGTGCAGTGCTCTGGGCTGTGGCTGGATCCTGCTGCAGCTATGCAAGCTCCTGGCAGCCCTGGAGAAAGGAGAATCCCAGTGGGAAGTGATTTGGGAAGGAGAGGCAAGTTGTGAGCTCTGGTTCAGGGATCTGGAGCAGGGGGAGAGGGAGCCTGTCCTTCTCCTGGCAGCAGCCAGAGGGGTGTGCTGGGAGAGGTGCAGATCCACAAGCCCATCCCCGCTCTGCAATAGACTGCAGTGCATTCCCAATTAATTATTCATTAATTATGGAAAACAGGCAGCACTGGCTCCACGGGCCCAGGAACTCGAGCCCCCGCGCCGCTGCCCGC